CCTTAGCTCAAACAAGGTTAACCTTTTGAACTATAACAGGTTTATATAATCCCCAAAAGGTTAAAGGTTACCTACTCAGCCCCTAAGCAGAAGGAGGCAAATATCCCCCCAAATTGACACGCAAGACAAGAAACCGGCCTCGTCATCCCGAAAGACTGGCAGAGAAGAGTGGCCCGTCCTTGCAGAAGATTTGGGTGGTCCAGGGCTTTGAGGTTTAAGGTTTACAAGCTTTGGGTTCCGACGATTTAGGGTTTAGGCTTCCAGGTATAGGAAGGTTATGGCGTGAAGATTCTGGTAGTTTGGGCTACGGGTGTGGGGGTCGATTCTCTTGAGGGGTCGACGACGTGCTACTGGAGAAGAACTGCTGCTGAATGCGATGGCCGCCAAGACTACGAAGACGCTTGCGGCTGTTGGGCGCTGTGCTGCTTCTGCGACTATGACAACAGTTGGCGAAGACCCCAACATCAAGAAGAAAAAGAAGAGCACGAACAAAACTACCCAAAGTGTTGCAGCACCGACAGGAGAAACATCAACAGATCCCGCCTCAGCTACCATTGGCCAGAAGATCACTACCCGCTGATGAAGTTAACCCCCCGCCCCACACATGCAATCCTTTCTCTGGCCCCCCCCCAGAACGGTTTGCAAGCATTTCCGTGTGTAAGAAAATAATGTAGATAGCACTCCAAGTCGAAGCTGAGGGATTGTTGGGCTCAGGTTTGGGGCGTGGGTTTAGGGCTCGGGTTTCAAGGTGCTGGGATCAAAGCTCGGGGAGTTCCCTAAACCCTAAAGCCTTCTTTGAGCTTAGGAGGCGAAAAACGTTGGGCTTCAGGGTGTGGGGCTCAGAAGGTGTGTGATCATAGCTCGGAGGGAGGTTGAGGGCTCAGAAGGTATGGAGTCGAAGCAAAGGGCTGCTGAGCTTAGGGTTTACGCGTTTAGGGTAGGGTTTAGGGTTTAGGGCATCGGCTCCACGAACACATTCGCCAAGGCTCATTAGCAGCATGTTGGCCAAGAAGCGGAGAGCATTCTCCTCATGCGCCTGAGGAGTCTAAGGTTAGGGGTTGAGACACCCACAACCACCCAGAGAACCCCAACACCCCTGAGGAAAAAACCCAAAATAATGATAGCAAGCCCCCTGGGTTTCAGGTATATTCCTGAATCCAAAGGTGTGACACCGACAATCTCTAGTTGCCGGGTTGAGTGTTAAGGCTGATTTCACGGTATTCTGGGTCTTTACTGAGGAACAGCATATGTTAAATTACCATATATATATATATACATACATATGTTAAATTACCATAATGATTTGATATACATGTATACATATATATACATATACATATACACACACATACATACATACATACATACATACATACATACACGTTACATACACATACATATAATATACACGCACAAAACATTCTAAATGCTGCGGCTTTCTTAATTGCGGTAACTTACATTCAAGTGCTGAACAAGGACCCCAGTATTTTAAAACGGATCGGGCCTGGCAAAACCCAACATAAAACCCTACCAAACAGTATTCTATAAAGCCCAATTAACGCCGTCAGTAAAATCCTACAACAACCCTTTAAAACCCCACAAAGCAAAACGCCTATGCTACCCTTTTTATCACGGAGTAAAGTGTTTGGGGCTTCATGGGGTACCCATACCCTCCGGTGCAGCTCCTCTTGCGGGGGTGTATTTGCATTTACGGATATTTACAATACGTGCGCGTTAAGCTCTACTTCCGGTTGCGCAGCCCGCGGAATTGCTCCTGCATCGCTAAGGTTTAGGGTTTGGCGTTAATGGGACTTAGTCAGTAAGCTTAGAAGTAAGGTTGCAGTCAGGAGAACCCTACTTAGGCCACTTATAACCCCCCGGCTATAACCCGTATGAAGTCCCTTAAGCCTTCAGCAACCTAAAACGAAAGCTCCAGCACATGAGGATGAACCCTGAAAGGGTGCAGACATATCATCTCGAGAATCCCAGGACAGGACTCCAGGGTCCGGAAGTTGATAAGCAGGCTGAGGCAGCAACCACTGAAAGTACTAACAGTCACCCAGAAAAGCAAGTATTTAGCCATGTGGCTCTTCTGACCGCCTGTCTACCTACATCAGCATGTGTGTGCTTCTTTTGCCTCCAAGCAGAACCCTACCGTTTTAATCGGGGATCTGCGAGGATGGTTCCAACATTGCCACATGCCACGGCCTCACTGCCGAAGATGCCGCAGACGCCGCGCGCAAAGATCTGTCGGATGGGGCCAAAATCCTGCCGAGGCATTGCCATACAATATGGGGTTTCTTTGGACCTTCGGAACTACGGCTACATTGTTGTTCTGTCAATGTTGGATTGCCTCTAGGGTCCCTTGTTGCTATATCCCGCCCATCGGAGATGCGCATTTGTGTACGACAGAGCCAGAGCGATGCTTACTTACGATGTAAGGCTTCAGCAGCGTGGTAATTAGGAATCTTTGAAGCCCCAAGAACTATTGCAAATAATAGCAGTGATGGCAATATTTAGCAACAATACCCAATACCCTAAATCCGAAACCCTCAAAACTAAACAACCCCAAGCAATATCTAGCAACAATATCAAATGCACAGAGCATAATTGAAACCTCCGGATTTTCAAGCTGAGGATCTCCGCTACTGCTTTAAAGGGATATTCTTTATAAAGGCATCTTAGGGTCTTAGGGGCCGAGTACCTTAGCACCAAAAAAGGTTAACCTTTTGAATGAAAACAGGTTTATATAAGCCCCAATAGGTTAAAGGTTACCTACTCAGCCCATATGGAATAATGAAGAGCTCACGGTTTTGGATGACTTGCCAAGTCTAGAGACTAGTGTGAGCTCGGCCCCACATAGCTTGCGAGGCTTATGTTCCCAAGCAGGATCGTTTTTAATTTAAAGGTCCCCAGTGGGTTCTCAGCAAAGCAAAACACGTCAGTGAAGCGGGTACTTCAACCCGAGCCCAACAAGCTCTCTACCTCCTCAAACCCTATAAACCCTAATCCCTAAATTCCAGGCCCAAGATTGCCCAAGATTTGAAAACGCCCAAACACCAACCCCGAACCCTACACTCTAAAGTCCAATCCCTTAATCACCCCTTCAACCACAAGAATAAAAAACCAGAGACGTGACCCTAAACAAAAACCTTGCACACAACTCTAAAGACAACCAAAAACATAGCTCCAAAAATCCTCCAAGACACAGCAAAACCCCCATGAAACCCTGAACCCAAACCCCTGATTCCTAAGCCCTAAACGCTGAATCCTAAACCCTAAGCCCTAAACCCTGAATCACCCGCACCTCACCGGAGCGCTCGGCCCTTGCAAGTGCCGTGCAGCGCCCCCAGGTTCGGTCGCGAAGGCAAAGCTCCACCTTTCAGGTTTAGGGGGTTTAGGGTTTAGGGTTTCGGGTTTAGGGTTTAGGGTTCAGGGTTTAGGGTTTCGGGTTTAAGGTTTACGGTTTGAGGTTCCCAAAGGCTCCATGTACCCATACTGTATATACTTTGGCCTTAAAGGGGTTCCGATATAGGTACTTTAGGGTCTAAGTATATACTATATGACTATATGGGCACATGGAGCCTTAGGGCTTAGTAATTTAAGGGGGTTCAGCAGTTTAGTTTAGGGTTCAGTTACTTAGAGTGATTTAGGGTTCAGAAATGTAGGTTTAGGGTTTAGCACTTTGGGGTCTAGGGCTGAGCCAGTTAACGTTATGGGTTAACGTTCAAGGCTTAGGGATTTTGGGCTTAGGGTGCTGGGTTTTTTGTTCGGGTTGCACACACATGCGCTATAGGCCTGGCTTAGCCTGCAAACCCATGAGAAAGCCCTCATGAAAGCCTCTATGAAACCCTCAAAAATCGTACAGGCACTAGAACCTTCAGGGAAAGGACGGCCTCAAGAATTTCATGATACTCATACTAACGGTTTACGAGTGCAGACCCCTGATTAGCGACCTGTCCTTGAAAGCCCTACAGTCTGGAGCCCTTTTTTGATCCTTCTTCACGGAGCGGGTTCGTACATCCGCCGCTTATGAGATCATGTTAAAAGAACTACAACAACCCTATGAAAACCCTAAGAATCCATGGATTCTCCAAATTGCATGTCTGTCTGAGGACCTGTATTCGCCACACGTAAAGTGCAAATTGCAGAAGCATCGTCGGAGCTTTCGCATGCATTGCCGCGAGGACCTGTTACAGGACAAAAGCTTGCACAAGCGCCGGAAGCAAGTTCCTTTTACAGCGGCCTCACCGTCGCCTTGAGGTCCTGTCCAATCCAACATACGAGGTGCTTGCCACTGAAAAGGCGGAAGCTGGCCTTGTGCTGGAAGGATAGCATTTTTTGGGGACACCGATGGTCGGGTCAGCAACTTGACGCATGTCACATGCGGCCAAACCAGCAACCCACCTCAGGATGCTGCTCCTGGTGTATGCCAGCTCCGCTTGGATGCGCAGCTGCCGCGCCGCCTGTGCCTCGTTACTGTCATCATCGCCGTCGTTGCCGATCATTGCTGCATTCACTCTGACACTATGCCTCGTGGAAACCATGCTAAACCACCACGATGCACCCCTCCCCATCACCCATGTAACATGGTCAGGTGCCACCCTGAGACTGGATTCTCCTGTCTTCGTTCGGAAAGCAACCCGAATCAAGCCCAGAATACACATGAAGATATACGACAACACTACTGTTGAGGGGTCCAGGGGCTCCTGAAGCTTTTTGTGTTGCATTACATGCATTGTTGCAAAGAATTACAATAGGCAGGGCTTATTGGTTTGGAGGCGGGGAGCGGCCCCCCGACGAGATGCCGTACAAGTAACCTGCTAGGAAGAGACATGACATTTGATGAGTTCTGGCACCCTCCCAAAAACCTTTCCCCTAGTCCCGAAATCAACCCTGCTAACCTCCCATATCAAAGCCCCACACCCCCAAACCGCAAGCACCTTTACGGGAACCCGTTGCAGGACATAGCACAGTATAAACGAACATCGTACTGTATAGTACGATACCGTATAGCACAGTCAGTATGATATAGTGTGATCATGAAAAAAACCACGATGTAATCTAGTATCATGTAGTCTGAAATATTCTAAAATAACAAAAGACAATACTTAAAAATGACATACTACGGTACGAGAAAGGCTAATCTGATAAACTATATGGTCTGAGAAACACAGCCCGAAGCCCGGTGCGGAAATCTCGGCAGCTGGAGCCTTGTCATCTGCCTTCCTTAGGCATCGCGCCGCAACATACAAGGGACCCAAGTGGGCTTTGGTTGTTGCTTGAGGGTTGAGGTTTGAGGGGTTAAAGTAGGGTATCGGGATCCTATCTGACCGAGGAATAAACACAAGGGCATGAAGATGAAATGACCCGACGCCCTAGAACAAAGACTGCTCAAACCCTCGTAACATCCAAACCCGAAGGCCGTCAACGGCGCAAGCCCTAAACCCCCAAGCCTAAAGCCGTGAATCGCGAAGCCCAAAGCCCACAGCCCTGAGTATGACATGGAACAGGTCTCAGCGGACCTTAAAGTCTTAAGCCGGTCCTGGGTGAGAATTTCGGGATCAGGAAATGGTATGGGAGTGCAGGGTGGGACCAGCCAAAATTTTGAGTTTGAGTATGATGATGATGATGATGAGGATGATGATGAGAATGAAAAGGATGATGATGATGATGAAAGCGGCGATGACGATGACGTGGATTTTTGTGCGTGATGTACGGCCCACCAATGAACAAGTATCATCTCAATCACAAAGCAGCAGCACGCGCCATGGTCGGTGTTGCGGAATGCTGACTGAGGCCCCGGCACGTCTTGCCACTGAAGCCTTGGGACATCTCATGTCTCTGGTGCCAGCAAGGCGTTGGGGGGTTTAGGGCTTAGAGCTTAAGGCTTAGAGTTTAGGCTACAGTGCTACTTCACATTTTTTCATGAAGCTTCGGGCTTGTCCGGGAAGCATTCCGGGCAGGGTTCTCTTGTAAGCCAAGTTGACATGGCCGTATATCTTACGCCTGAATAGGAGCGACCTACAGTAGGTGCCTCACTGGTCAATCTGACCAGCAAGCTAAAACATTAAGTCGAAGAAACATGAGGCATATCTGTGCAGATGGGCATAAAGGCATTTGGGTATGAATATGTATGTATATGTGTATATATATGTGTGTATATGTATTTATGTATGTATGTATGTATGTATATATATATATATACGTGCATACATACATACATGCATACATACATACATGCTCGTACAAATAAAACATGGACTTTGTTTTTCAACTCCTTCAAGACTCACCGACAGTGCACACAATGCCCATGAACACGAAATCGATAGACATTTGTACGGCTTTTGGCTTCCATCTGCAACAACACGAAGACAAACAGAAGCAATGACTCGGCCGAGGTTGGTCCTGAAGGGGGGGTACCATCCATATATATATCTATACATATATAATATATGTATGTATATATATATATGTGTATATATATATGTATATATATATATACACACTACGTAATATACACATACATAGATATGCATGCGTGCATACATACATACATACATACATACATACACTACATACACAAAAACATAAATACATACATACGTACATACATACATACATACATACACATACATACATACACATACATACATGCATACATACATACAGACATACATACATACATACATACATACATACGTAAACTCATACGTACTCACATACGTTATGTTTTGTATATAGATATATGAGTATATGAGTGTATTCATACAAAGAAAGAGTTGTATACGTATATATGCATATATGCAGGCGGACGAATGTTTACGTAGGTGCATGTGTGTGAAACAGCTGCATGTATTTCTGGGTGGCACGCACACACATCGCCCGCACCTCCACCAAAAGGCATTTTGTTGCTCTCGGCTCGCGACCCTAAACCCAAACTCCAACAACAGACAAAACAAAGAACCTCGCAAACATAAGCACAGAGGCATAACACTCTCCTTGCGCTGCCACCTAGGCACGACTGGCCGTCAAGCAGAATCTTTGGCTGTGTTTGGCTCGTGCCCTGCAGGGGCGCGGCTGGGCTGTAGGTCTACCTTAAAACGAAACCATAGCCTATCGTGTTGTAGGTTCTTCTTTTTCAGCCCTAATAAAAACTCTATCGGGACCCGACAAAAAAGTAGGCTGTTGTAGCTCAAGGTAGAGTTGGGGGTACGGGGGGTTGTGTTTCGAGGGGCAGCAGATTCGAGCTCAGGGGTTGGAAAATTCCATTACGCCCCGTAAATGGGGGGTGGAGACCCCAAGACTGGTCTAAACCTTGTCTTCTGTTGCATTGGAGGTCTAAACAACTTCTTCAGCGATCTGAGCATCAGAAGCACCATCACCTCACCGGCTGCACCTTGACCATCAATGCCACCATCGTCGTGACCGCCGCATCAGCATCCTCATGATCGTCCTTCTCGTCCAAAAACGTCCGCGCAGCACAGGTTCGCAGTACCCAGTGCGGCTCAGAGTGTAATCCTTAATTTGAACAGTGTTTGGGGGTGTGCTATACTCCAAATTATTCGAAATATGTGGGGGACTACGCGTAGTAATCATTCCGACCTCTATATTGCGAGGTTCTCGAAGGAAACTATAAGGCATCTGTAATCTATACAGTACTGTAAAGGATTTAGAACGGCGTAGGGCGTAGGGTTGAGGATGGTAGGGCAGGGAATTTGCAAGACGACAGCAAAGAAGCACTGCAATCATATTTTGTCATACCTTGAACCCCAACCCCTAAACGCCTGAACCCCTAAACCCACAACCTCGGACTTTGAAAATGAACTGGTGGAGCCCTGCACCTGCGCGAAGCCTCGACGAAAAGACTTGAGAAGACCTCATATGGGAGCCTTTATGATTAGAATAGGGTTTGGGGTATATTGTACTGTAATTATCGACAGGGAAATGCCAGTATTGATTACAACGGTTTTTACAGCAGTCATATTTCTTATAAGGGTCTTGGACTGCTTTCCAAACGATGATTAGCCAAGGAGTTGTTCCTTTCCGTGGACTCTTGTAACGAGTTGCTATAAGGTTTGTAGAAGAGCTTTACAGTATACGATTTCGTAAGGGTTGTGCATGCACTTTTTGATCAGGCCCCTAATCAGGCTGAAGGTATATGCTCCTTCTAGTTTAGACGCACCCCAAACCTTAAACCCTGAACCCTAAACCTTAAATCCTAAACCCGTGGCCGGGTGAAAAACAGCCCGCCTTTCTGCAGTTGGACAGGTTGAAGAGGCTCGCTCCGACCCTGGCCGGGAACGGGTTAGGGTTTAGTTGAAGGTTCAGGGTTTTCCGTTTAAGGGTTTAGGGTTGCCCTTAAGGGTTTAGGAGGGTTTGGGGATCAGGGGTTTATAATTTAGGGTTGAGGGCAGGGTTCAGGGATCAAGGTCATGTTATAGTCTGAACCCCCCACGCTCAACCCCTGAATCGAAAAAAGCCTAGCCACTATACTCTAAATCACCGAAGCCCTGAACCACTTATAGAATAACTACACGGGGATACATATGAAGCCAAGGATGGGTTGGGGGTCTGGTGCACTGCGCTCTTTCAGGCCCCTCCTTCAAGAAATGCAGTAATAAAACTAACAAATAAGGTTTAAGACTGAGGGTGTGTTTATATCATGCCAATTTGCAATACGAATTGTGCTCATGCTGCCTCGCCCAGAGGCGGGAAATGCCAGCCAGGGGACCATCAGCACGCGAATCAAAGAGCAGAGCTAGCTAAATCGCCCAGGGAACATGCAGCCTGCATTATGAGCATCAGTGCCCATGCATTGAAACACGTGGCCCGCATCGCGAGCATCATCGGCAGCCCGTGTCTTTTCTCATGTCCCCCCCTCCCCAAAAAAGCATTGCACATGTGACGAGGCAACCGACAACAACTATTCAGCCGTGCGCCGAAAGCGTCGTTCAGATCAACAGCGAAAGCCAGGGCTGCAACACCCCACGCCGGCCGTAGAAAATCAAAGACATACGTCGAACAAAAGCCAAGCACGGAGTTTAGAATGAGCTGCGGTTTTGGGGTTGGGGAGTTAGGGCTTGGGATGTTACGGGATTACCCCAAGGAGGCCCGATGCATGCTGTGCTATGCTCTCAACACGCTGATGAATACCGTTTCAAGATGCGCGTGTCTTAACAGGGATACATTAATTAGGTGGTCCTCAGGCTAAGGATGCTAGAGTTGAGGGGCCGCATATCGGGGCCCGATACTTTCTGAGACTCCCAAATATCATTCTTGATCACTCTCGTAGCACCTCGAGCAACAAAATCTGACAGACATGCCCGAAGCTCCTTCACAACCAACCTAACTACACCACTAACCATTTCGAAACCACAAAACGAAGCATCCTTGTCCTGATTGCTGTGTTGTTATACACCCCGATAAGAACAAGGGTACCCTCTTCTCACTGTTCAGTCTTAGTGAGAACACCCAACATCAAACGCGTCTGGCTTTTACTGCGGGACCTAGCCTATATCATTTCCAAAACTTTCATAACCCTTCAAGGACTCTTATACGGCCCTGCAAATCTCGGTACAATCCTGAAACACTCCAAAAACCCGAGGGCAAAAACCTATTTCCGTTAGAGAAAATGCGAACACGAGGCCGGACCGAGGCAGACGCCATTCCAAGCGGCGCACGTTCGACGTCCTGATGCGGAGGCCTTTTCACGCGGAGTTTGGGGTTTGCGGCTTAGGGTGTGGGCGGGTTCGTTGTTTTCACTACAACAAATGTTGTCTCAAGATGAACCGGGGCTATAGGGCTGATCGGATTTAGGAGGTTAGGGTGTTGGGCGTTGGGTGTGTAGTAGGGTTGAAGCGTACTAAAACAACGACAATATCAAAGTTCGCGTGCGGGCTTCGTGCCGTGAACTGTGGTTATGAGTGTGCTTTAAGGTTCTGGGGTGCGTATGGCGGCGCTTCAGGATTCAGGTTATGGTTCAGAACGTACGGCTTACTCCCCTGGAGACCATTAAAGATACTGGTCGCGTCGATTCGTTGGACTCTCTTGATATTGGAGATATTGAGCTTATGCCTGCAAACGCAGAACCCAGCGTTTGTCTCGTGTTGCGGTTTACGGTTAAGGTTTAGAATTTAGTGCCGGGTTTAAGGTCATGGGTCGAAGATGAAAAATCAGTTCCGATATATGCTTGGTAACCATTCATCACCCTTCATCCTGTTAAGTTGCTAGCGCTATTTGGGCAGCGAAGGCATAAAAATTAACGTTAGGGCTCTATACACCTAAACTCCAAATACCCCAAAGACATTAATTCCGTAAGGAAGCTTCAAAAAAAATCATGGCCCCCGAAACCTTGAAAGCCATAAGACCCTTAAACCCAAACCCCCCAAACCCCCAACCCCAAATCCTAAAACCCCAAAAGCCTAACGCCCTAAACTGGAGCGAGCCGCGGATGCTGTGGATGCCAGCGGCAAGCGATACCACGGGCACCAGCCGGACAAGCCCGAGGAGCCAGTTTCTGCCTGACACGAGCGAGGGCCCGGTGCATCCGGTGACGATGGCCTGCACATGGCACTTGTCCCTATAACTGCAGCTGCTGCAGCAGGCACAAACCACCTTACTCCAAAGGCGCTGCTTTGCTTTTGCTGCCCTGCCCGTCTGCTCTGCTGCTCCGCCACAAGCCAAATCCAGCCGGAGCCCGCAGCACAAACCTCTAGTAGGAAGTCTTCCCAAACCGGCCAAATCCAGGCCACAACACAAACCAGTAAAAGAGCTTCCCAAGCCAAAGCCAGAGGAGGACCCTCTCACAGAGCAATCCTCGAGGAGGTATATTTCAAGCCAAATCCAACCAGAAGCCGCAGCGCAAGCCGCTACGAAGCTGTTGCAAGCCAAACCCCCGCCCAAACCTACGAAACAAACCTCCGCCAGGTTTTCTCAAGACAAATCGAAGTTTCTCGCCACCTCCAGCCAGCAATCAAGAGAGCAAGCTGAAATTAAGAGGATGCTGCACTATGGCTGTCTTGCCAAGCAGGCTCGTCCTCGCAGCCCATACTGTTGAATGTGGTGCACTCACTCTGGGCATTGGCCGTGAATTCCTGGCCTTTGCCTAAAAAGTGCAGGGTGTGAATGGAGGATGTGTGGACTCACTACTGGCCCCTGTGCTCGTGTCCAGTTCGAGGACCCACTGCCGTCTGGCCTGTGCGCTTCGGCGTCTGTGCCCATGGATGCTTGCATGGGGTGGCCAGTCAGGGACCTCGAACCTTTGCCGGAAGGCTGCCCATGGCGCCTGCGCAGGCTCCCTGAGATGGCGGAGGGGAAGGTTTCCCCTGGCAGCCGTACCCTGCACGCCGTCCATCCATCCTTAAGAGGCTGCACTACATGCCAAACCCAGAGCCCCCAGCCCGACGGCTCAAACCTAAGTGCCGTCAAGTGCCTAGATAGCAAGAGGCTAAATCCCGGAAAAAAACGCACAAACCCGACAAGGTTGAGATGTGGGTGGTCAGGGGCGCAGGATCGCAGGAAAGCCTGAACCATCAACCCCAAAGCCCCAAACCTAGTTAAACCCTAAGCCTCAAAACCCGACAGCTCTCAGCCCTAAACCCCAAAACGGTAAAAGAAACCCTAAACCCAAAAGCCTAAACCCTGAAAAGGCCTAGATTTTCAGGATCCAGGTTGGACCAGGAAGATGTCAAGCCGACTGCTAGGCATCTCTACGGGGTCGAACCCTGGCATTTGTGCGCGGCTTAGGGTTTAGGGTTTAGGGCTTAGGGTTTTAGGTTCAGGAATTGAATTTACCGGTTCAAGGTTGCCCAGATTCCCCAGTAGCCCCTCAACAATAAGGGTAATATGTTCCTACGGTTCGGTTTGAATAGAGACCTAGCTAAGATAAACCACATAATTAGTACGATCCCTATTCCAGTAACTTAAATGAAGTTCCTTAAGAAGAACCCAGTTTTGAAGACCTTGCGGCACAAACCCTATCATCATTTCACTTATCCTTTAAAGGCTTCGAAACCCAAATCCCTGATCCCTATGAGGTTTCTTCTGGGGGCTTAAGCTCCACTTCATGAATCAGGGGACTTCGGGAATGGGTGGAGGCTAGAGTCACAAGCAGATAGCACCAGTTTGGATCCTTTAAGTTCTACACCTACACCGACTTACTTCGTGCACCGCTCCTCCTCAGTACGCCGTTCTGCGGCCTAGGGTTGAAGGTTCACGTTCTTGGCACATAAAGCTTCAGGTTTGAGGATACATGGCCCTGGAAACCCTAAACCCTGAGCCCTAAAAGCTCCCTAACCCCTCTCACCACCCTATAATACCCTATACACCCCTGTAAGGGAATCCTGAGAGGATCCCTTCAATTGCCATTTCTTTTCCCTTAACCCCCAAAACCGTGTATGGGTAGTTCTCTAAATTAGGGTCCCCTTTTAGGTCCCCAAAATAGTACGGCACCTTGAAAAAAAGGGACCCTAAAGGGGACCCTAATTTAGACAACTACACATATACACTCTACACCCATGCCCCTCGAAACAGCCAGCGTGCGGATTGCAAGGGGCCCGGGCAAATTTCCTCACCATCCTCCCGCTGCACGGAGACCTGTGTGTGGCGGCTGTTCTCGAAGGCTAGGTTTAGGGTGTAGGGTGCTGTTGGGTTTAGGGTTTAGGGTGTAGGGTTCTGTAGGGTTTAGGGTTTAGGGTGTATAGGGTTCTTAGGGCTGAAGAGCAGGGTCACAGATTTAGGACTTTGGGCCTAGGGAGGTTTGGGGTTTTAGGGGGTCTCCGGGCTGAAGAACGAATTACAGGCCTCGATTACACCATGTGGCCTGAAATAAACACTCTTCTTTTTCGTGCCCAGTTGCGGATTGGCTGGTCTGAGGGAACAAGAAATCACATAAGATCGAAGCCGCAAAAATCGCAGAGCCTTAAGCTGTAATGGAATGATAACTACTCGCAGAGTCGGGGGGTATAGAACATAATGATGAATGTGAGTCCACTGCCAAACCTCAACTCACGAATCCTAAGCTCAAAGCATCACCCACCTCAAACTTAAACCCCAACTCCGAAACCTCGAACCCTTGGCCCGAATCCTCCTAAGGTCCGAGGTATCTCCTTGGGAGTGTCTGAAATCTCCTACCTAAACCCTAAACCCTAAACCCCTAAACCCCTAAACCCTAACGAGAATTGCTGCAGTCTGTTTCGGGGGCCTGAGCCCAAACCGCAGAGCCCCCTCCGTCCCGCAAGGATCAAACCCAAGGCCTCCGACCGACGATATGGATGCAACTGCCTCGGCAGG